TTCCTTCCTTCCTTCCTTCCTTCCTTCCTTCCTTCCTTCCTTCCTTCCTTCCTTCCTTCCTTCCTTCCTTCCTTCCTTCCTTCCTTCCTTTTCCCTCTCTCCTTTTTTTTTAATGAAGAGCAGAGCCAACACTAGGCTGATGGATGGAGCAGCATCAACCTACCTATGGATAGGTACAGTAACTTAGGACTGCAGAGTTAAAATGTGGCATCTGTGTTGCCACTATAAAATTTTGGACTAAATCCTCTGTACCTTTTAACACTCATTGGCTAGCTGTAATGCTTTAAATTATAAACAAAAATAAGGTGTCTTTGAAGGAAATAATTTACATAAGGAAATGAAGTGTTTCTTTTTAACTAGAATTAGATTGCTTAGATCTATAGTTCTGCTGAGTTATGGATCCTGTTACATTAAGAGTCTTTCCCAACTTCATAGATTCTCAATAGTTGGGTTTTTCCCCCCCCAGAACATATTTCCCTAAATTTCCCTGCAGCCATTCATTCACAAACAGAAGCAGATGCTGCACAGCAGTCTTTCTTTGCCTCAGATTCTTCCTGCTGCTTCTGGCTTTTAGGTTCATTCGGATCTTTCCAAGACTGCTTGTTGAAGTTGCTGTTGGTTAGATCTCTGCTTACAGCCTTTTTGATGCAATCTTTGCTTGCCTGCGTGAAGCTTGACTACTACCACCCAGCTCATAGTCACATATTTCGGTCATCAGGTTTTCTTGCAGTATGGTTTCTTAGACAATTTCTATCTTCCCCCAGTTATGAGTTTTGCTTCAAATGTTCAAAATGTCAATGTGAATTCCTCCTTGCTTAACAATCATAACTCATTTAGGCATAATTGAGCCAAGCCCAATACAGAGGCAAATCCAGGCTTAATTTATGACTCCACACAAAGACAGATATAAATACTATAAAACATAGAGAAATAATAGACATACAGGAGGGGTGGGAGAGAGGTAGATTGCTGACACTGTTCCCACCACTTCACTGTGATTGCCTTAGATGACTACTATTTGCAGATTGGCCAATCTGCTGATTAATATTCAGTCTGAAGGCAAGAAGCAAATGCTTATTGAATCAGCTCACCTTAGGTCAATGGGATGCCCCTTTAATACAATTCTCAGTTCCAAAGCAAACTATTGAAAGATATCCATAGTGGAGCACACCACTTTCCCAAGATGGCAAATGGAGAAGGTGGATTGTCTTCTGTGTGTTCACTGATACTGTGCCTTCCAGGCTTTAACAATACCTGCATTGTTATTGTCAATATGGCAATGCACAATAGATCCAACTGGCAATCTTTTCTCCAAAGGCTTCTACGCTAGAACTAAATAGACTGCTGAGATGAAAAGACTATAGATGGTTTATCAGGCTGGATAAAAATTGATGATGCCATACAAGCAGATAGATCAAAAGTTCTGCTCCCAACAGATCAACAGTCAGAATCCAGAAAAACTTAGTGATGGATTAATACATCTGTGTGTTTCTGTGGTTCATGGAGCAGAATTCAGAACAGGGATCTGAAAATGCTGCACAAGATCACCGTATCCATGTGTACCTGCAGCAGCACAGGCTAAATTTAGAAACTTAAACTTTTGAGACCAAATTGCAATTCCTATGGTTTCTCAAGAGACATCTTTCTTAGTGCAAATGGTTTTTTAAGATGACTCATTCTGCAGTTTTTTGTTTTGTTTTGGTATCACTAGCCTTCATCACAACTGCTGCTATTTGTTTGCTTTTCTGGTTCCCATCTTTTTTATAGGCTGTTTGCGTCTATATAGAGCTAGTTTGTCTAAAGTACTTCTCCTCATTCCCTGGGTCTGGAATGGTTAGAGAAGCCACATGGAACTGGCAGGATTTTAGCACCAATAAGATAGCCCATCTTCCTCATGCTCTGGACCAGAGATATCTATGGCAGTGCTGATCCTAGACGGAGGATCTGGAGAAGGAAAATGGTAGGACACTACCAGATTTATGTGTAAACATGGTTGCATATTTATAGAATTTATATCCTGCATTTTCACCATGGTTCAAAAAACTGGGAAAAGTAAGTCAGTCAGATTGTTAAGGGCATTGTGTAGTGACACATGTATTTTGAAAAACTGAGCTCTGAATTTCTGGAAGCCCATTTTCTGGGGACACTAACAAAATGCTTTATTTCTCTCAGGTTCAGGCCACACTTTATACTTTCTATTCTCTCTTCCTCTTGACCCATCCAAAAGCCAACAAAAAGTGTGCTTTCCATTTTGGGGTGACAATATAAACATCCCCTGCACCAGGGAGCACCCCTATGAAGGAACGTGTTTTGCTTCTCTCAATCTGAGATAATAGGCCTTCAGAGATGATTGGGACATGGAATTGTCTCATGATGACTTGTGTCAGAGTGAACCACTATTGCATTTTAATTTTCTTTTTAGTAATCAAAGCTTTTCCACAGCATTCAAAAGAAGAGATTAGGCATAGAACAGAAGGGGTGAAGAGAATCTGATTTTAATCGAAGGAATTGTTCAATCTGGCAATATCACATACTGCAGGTCTAAGATTTCTCTCAAGAGGAATATCTACTTGTTTGTTCTAAGAATCTACCTTGGTTAACTGTGATTTGAGTGACAGTGCACAACTGTTATTTTTCCTGGGATGATTATTCTTGTTTCTTTTTCAGACTCTGAGCCTTGCACTCCAGATACTCCCTCTGCCACTGCTTCACCATCATCTTCTGAAGATCCTGCAACGCTCACAGCTCCTCCCTCACCATCTCCTCCATATGGTTGTGAAGTCTCCATATTTTCATCACCACAGCCCACCTCCGCCATGGCCCTGAATCTTGAACCATCACAAGTATCAGCTTCTGGCTCACTGAACCCGTCTTCTACTTCCATTTCCTCCCTACATTCTGGTCTTCCTTCCACTGTGGCACCAACTGCCTCTGCTTCAGCTACACAACCTCGCATTTACTCACCTACAAATATTGCTGGTTCACCTAGCCACGGCCCACACCTTATTGACTGGCTTCCATACCTTGCTTCAGTGATGACCACCACAAAGAGAGGAAAGGAAGAAGAACAAACATCCCTTGGAACTGGCCCACCTGAGCACATGAAGAGGTGTGGAAGCACATATTTACCAGTACTCAGTGAAGGGGACAATATTCATGCTGGGTTCATCAAGCAGCAGCCTCCGGAGTCAGTTTGTTCACCACCCACATTTCAGGACATTCCCCCCCATTCTGAACAGGTGCCTGCCACTCTAGGAGACATCCTGGCAGAGCTGAAGACAATGAACCACCACCTTTCCATCATAGCAAGGGCTCTTAGCCACCTTGCCTCATCTTGCACAACTCAACAGGACTCCACAAATGCTCAAGGCTTGTAAAAGAGGAAATCTCCCTTCTACACTTTTAACTAGAACAACAGAAACATTGGTATGAGAGAGTTTGAATGAAGTGCAGTTACAGACTGGCAGGTCTGATTACTGCAGTTTCTGGGAATTTGCCTGGTCCTTGATACAGGAAAGGTTGGGTAGGTTCTCAGGCTTCTTGTTCTTACTTCTCTTGGAATGCAGATCTCAAAACTATGTCAGTATCAATAAAGTTATTGGTACACATAATAGCTCTTTTTCTTTTTTATTTCTGTCTCTTGCAATATTTGAAGTAACTATGTATACTCATGCACACCTATTCAGTATGAATGATATGTCCAAGTTGCTCACTGTGAGCAGTTTCTAGTACTGGAGCAGGTTGTAAGAAGATAATCTTGGAAACTGCTGGTCCTATTGTTTGGCTGGGACTGGCTGCATGGCTACAGGAGGTGGTTAATGCTCCTTAAATGAACATTAAAACAGACAACATGTATTGAAAAAGTGCTTCCTGGATCTGGATCTTTGTAATTATATGCCAGTTTCCAATCTTCCATTTCTGGGTAAGATGATCAAGAAAGTGTAGCCTTGCAGCTCTAGAGGCATCAGGATGAAACTGATTATCTGGATCCATTACATTTAGGGTTTCATCTGGGATATGGAACCGGGTGGATGACCTATGCTAGAAAGTAAAGGAGGGGAGTGCAACCCTGCTAGTAAGAATGACAGAGCTAAAAGGAAGCTCAGAGATCATCTCATCCAACCCACAGTTCAACTAATCATTTGGTTAGTATATTGGTGACTCTCAGCTCTCTTTTCTTTGATTCTAAAAAAGCAATCAGCACCCCTGAACCTGCTTAAACTCAATAATGGTCTGGATGAGGCAGGAAAGGCCCTTTTGAAGACAAGAAACTTGACTGCAGAAATAGAATATGAGAGAAGGTCTTCTCCTGTGTGGCTTCCAAGCTATAGAATGTACTCCCAAAGGAGATCCCTTTGGCCCCCACTCTCCCAATATTTAGGAAAATAGCAAGTACCCACCACTTTCCCAAAGCCTTTGATTTTTGCTTGAAAAAAATTAGGTTTTGCCGTAATGTTAATAGTTTTTATTCTAATGTTTTATAATGTGTATTTTTCGTTGCTATAAGCCACCTTGAATGGTATATAAACAGAAAGGTAGGATACAAAATTTAAGAAAGGATAAAGTATTTCTAGGAGGATAAACTGTTGAGTTGGCTGACCCTGTAAATCTTCTAGGTCAGCAAAGGAGATTCATATAGGAAGCAGGTTTTCAGTGCAATGCAAATAGAAGCTGATCTGGCAAGGGACACTGCATGTATATGTGGCATTCAGACTTCATCTTGAATTTGTACAGTGGCACACCTTCCACCCAACTGCTTCAAACAACCTTTAGGACTAAATCAGAAATTCAGGAATAGAGACTCTAAAAACCTTCTGGTTAATATTTTTTTAATGCAGGAACTGATCTGCCAACATCGTTAATTAAGCTATAAAGGCCACCTGGCCCTTCCTGGTCTTGTAGAATCCCCTTCAATCCTTCACGCAACCTAGAAACCAAAAGCTACAAAGACTGAAGACCAAGCTACAAAATGTGACCAATAACTGAAGGCCAAGCTACAAAATGATAGGTATGAGACACTAACTGAGGATAACTTATCTTTAAAGCAACCGAGTAAAATATATTTGGGAGCCTGAAGTAATGGAGTAAAATGTAATGGTCACCATTATGTAAAGAAGGCTGGAAATATTTTTCAGTACTTCTAACCCTAAATTATAAGACAGCTTGGTTTATCTGAATGGTTTGAGATGTGCCCAAAATAAATTCGAGTGCTGTTTACACAGGGTTAAATATTTTATGAAAGTTACACTGACATAAGGGCAAAAGAGGACACCACCATGATTCTGGATTGTGTCTACTATCACCAAGGTATACTTGATGTTCTGCCATATATGATAACAAGCATAAGAGGATTCTGAACAAGGAATTTATGAATGAGTAATACATTCACTCTTCATTTTCTTCTGTTTTTCTGATTTTTTTTTTTTTAATCTAGCTTTTAGGAGCTTTTCCCTTTAGAGAAAAGAAGGGAGAATAGCATTGCCATCAATAGAGTAGATGCAATGCTAACTCCCACAGCAAATGAGCTGGCTATACTGGATTAAGTGGTAAGCAGTTATTTCTGTTTAAATATTTACAAAGTGACTCACAGATTTAAAATGGGGGGAAATACCCACAGTTACTAGATGGACAACATTTTACAAAACAACATATTTCAAAGAATCATTAAATTCTGAGTATGAAAGTGATGTTTGTAATATTTTATTATGGTCCTCTGCCTTTTAAATAATTATGCACTAGAATTCTAAAGAACAAAACAGTTTTGGTTGTTTGCCTAATCATACTAAGTGAAATGTTTGCCAGGTCATCTTCACTTCCTTGACTGGTGATAAATTGCAGGACTGTGTTACATGATTTATTTTTCTTGTGTAAGACAGTAATGGAGATTTGTGGATTTGGTTCAGCTGTCGTATTCTTGGTGCAGCAAACCAAGGCTTGCAGAATCCAAAATGTTATGTATACTTACATACTTCCTATCCTCTCCTTTTGCATACATGGCTAAAATAAGGCTACTTGGTTTGTGAAACAAGAGTTTGAAATAGCTGGAAAATAGTGTTTTGAGTTAACCTGACAGAATGTAATTTGATCTGGGTTTACAGAAAAGATTCCAATCAACTTTTCATAATAAAGATTGCACCAGGCATACCTCAGGGGGGAAAACAATTTAAAGTTGGGTGGGCGGAGTGAAGGGTAACCTTTGAAAAGGGCTGCTTCACTGGAGTCACTTGCCAAGCTTCAGCCTGGCTGGTACCTGGAAGAAGCCCTCTGAAGATGGTCTTAGGGAAGTGGTAGTAACATTCCTTCGGATACCATCTCTCCTTTTGACTGAATCCAAGTATGACAGTGAAATCACTGAATCAGTGCCTGGCTGTAGTGGTGAACTGTATGAGGGCCAACAAACTGAATCTTCCTCCAAATGAGACAGAGATACTGTTAGTGGATGGCTTCTGTGCCCAGAATAATTGTCTTCAATATGTTTAGATGAGATTGCACTCCCCCCCCTCCAAGGATTAAGGTCTCAGGTGAGCTTCTGGATTCATCCATGACACTGGAAGCACAAGGGGCCACTGTGAAATGAAGAACCTTTCACTATCTTAGGCTGGTGTGCCAGTGACAGACCATTGCAAGAAATAGTCTTGCAATGGTCGTCTATGCCCTGGTAATTTCTTGAGATTACTGCAATACCCTTGAAGATGGTTTGGAAACTTCAGTCCGTAAATGTTGTGGCAAGAGACAAATTGAAACTGAATTATATGAAACATCACTCAAGTTCTTTATTACCTTTACTAGTTCTTACTTTGTCTCCAGTTCCACTTCGTGATGCTGGCTTGGCCTTCATGGCTGCTGGATCCATCTCTGGGCTGGTGTTGGAGTCTTTTGGTGTTGGGTGTCTCCATGTCTTGGGGATCCAGTATGGGAAAGTTTTGGATTTCATGATCTCCATAGGAACCATAGACTTATCCCAGTTAATCTCTGGCCTGACATTTGCAGAAAGTTATACATTAGAGTTTTTGTTCACCTTGGAACACTTACGTGATGATATAAATATGGAGGGCATTACATCTAGCCCATTGCAATAGTCAGATAAATTCCTGATGCAACTAAGGTTAACTGGCACCCCACACCACTGCAGGATGGGATCCATTAGAAGATCTGTCCAGGCACCTGATAGTCCTGGAAGGTACTTGGGGAATTTCCCAACAATCTGCGTGGTAGTTCCACTGATTTCCTGCGGAGCCTCTAGCAATAGATAATAAAGAAAACAAAGCACCATTACTTCTCCTTTATTGCATTGGTGGGCTGTCAGCCAGCTGCCTTGTTGATAGTAATAAATTCCCTAATAGGAAAAGATGTTCAGGAAGAGCTGCCTGGCTCACTGTGAATCTTTTGCTCACCAGTTTGCCAACACGATTGCTTAAAAGTCCTAACTCTTTCTAGGTAGAGTCTGCAGTGCTGATTGCATTGTTACATTCTTTTTGGCCTGTGGTCTATCAGGAAGTGGATAGGGTGCTCCTTGGTATGATCCCTGCCCGTTGTGGGCTTGACCTATGTCCCTACTCACTTTTATCTGAGCTGTGCTTTGTGTGACAACCTGGATTGGGAGGTTGTCATTGCTTTCCTTTAGGAAGGGGTGATGCCAATAGCCTGGAAAGTCCCTGGATCCAGGACTGTTTGATAATTATTGTCCAATGTCTAACTTTTCCTTTTTAGGGAAGGTTGTTGAGCACTCCAGAGGAAATGAATTTTCAGTTCAGATTCAGGCCGAGGCATGGTATCGAAAAATTCTTGTTTATTCAAGTAGATGACCTTTGTCAAGACTTTGAGGGAAGAAGTGGTCCTATTAGATCTCTTGGTGGTTTTTGATACCCTCAATCATGGTATCCTCCTGGATCACCTGTTAGGGTTGAGGATTAAGGGCACTGTGTTTCAATTCTACCTCAGTGAACAATTCTGATCAGTGGGGAGTGGGGAGAGTGGTGATCTCTTGTGGAATCCCACAGGGTTTAGTCCTCTCCTGTTTAACATCTATATGAAGCTACTGGGAGAGGTCATCTGGTAGTTTGAGGTGGGTTTCCATCTGTTTACTCTTAAGAGCTTTACAGTGTGATCTCAGCTCCAGCTGGCAATGATGTTGAAGTCTTGTCCCATTATCTGGAGGCTGTCAAATTCTGAGGGGGATAAAACAGATTGAAATGGAACCCAAGCAGATGGATTTACTGTTTGTTCATCATAGTTCCCTGTCATATCCAGTGTTGTCTCTCAAGGGATGGCATTATCCCTGGGAGACCCAGTCTGTGAATTGGGGTTTCTCCTGGACTCATGGCTATTGCTGGTTGGACAGGTGGAGGCTGTGGCCAGAAGGGTCTTGCTCTGGCTAATACATCAGTTGCAGCCCTTCCTGGAACAAGGGTTCATGCCCTCATTCTTGTGTGGTTAAATT